TGGCTGCCCCATCCCTGGCAGTGTTCAAGGCCAGCTTGGATGAGGCTTGGAGCAACCTGATCCTGTGGAAGGTGTCCCTGCACGTGGCAGGGGTTTGGAACTGGATGAGCTTTAAGGTCCTTTCCAACCCAAACCAGTCTGGGATTCTGTGACCCTATGAATTTGGCCATGGCATTGCCCGCTCACTGTGTGCGGTGCCAGCTTTACACTGCCTGTCCCTGCAGGACACTTTGGCAGCGTCTACCATGGCACCTACTCGGACCCGCTGCTGGGGGACCTCCACTGTGCTGTCAAGTCCCTGCACCGTGAGTAGCACCCGCTGCCTCTGCGCGGCCCCGCGGCACGGCTTGGAGTCAGCGCTCCGCAGCTCAGCTCTCTGCAGGCATCACCGACGTGGAGGAGGTGGAGGAGTTCCTGCGCGAGGGCATCCTTATGAAGAGCTTCCACCACCCCCAGGTGCTCTCGCTGCTGGGGGTGTGCCTGCCCCGCCACGGGCTGCCCCTCGTCGTCCTGCCCTACATGCGCCATGGGGACCTGCGCCACTTCATCCGCGCACAGGAGCGGGTATGGGGGTACCCTGCAGGTGGGGGGGGGGGTGGTGGTGGTGTGGGATCAAGGTGTCCCCACTCACTGCTCCCACCCCACAGAGCCCCACAGTGAAGGAGCTCATCGGCTTTGGGCTGCAGGTGGCCCTGGGCATGGAGTACCTGGCCCAGAAGAAGTTTGTGCATCGGGACCTGGCAGCCAGGAATTGCATGTGAGTTTAGCCATGCCCGCCAGCCCCAGACATAGGGGTCACCCCATGGACCCGGGGGTGGGTATGAGGCGGTGTCTCTCCCCACCCAAAACTGGTGTCCCATAGGCTGGACGAGACACTGACAGTGAAGGTGGCTGACTTCGGGCTGGCACGGGACGTGTTCGGCAAGGAGTACTACAGCGTCCGGCGGCACCGCCACGCCAAGCTGCCCGTCAAGTGGATGGCACTGGAGAGCCTCCAGACCCAAAAGTTCACCACCAAGTCGGATGTGGTAGGCACGATCCCCATCCCTGTCCCCATCCCCACCATGCCTCCCCCCCTCAATGGCAGCTCTCTGCTCGGCAGTGGTCCTTCGGGGTGCTCATGTGGGAGCTGCTGACACGGGGAGCATCACCGTACCCCGGGGTGGACCCTTACGACATGACCCGCTACCTGCAGCGGGGGAGACGCCTGCCACAGCCCCAGCACTGCCCTGACGCCCTGTGAGTGGGGCTGAGGTGGGGTGGGGGGGTTCCAGGGGGCTGCTGGTGCTGACGGGGGTGTTGGGACAGGTATGGGGTGATGCTGAGCTGCTGGGCACCGGCGCCGGAGGAGAGACCGTCCTTCACCGGGCTGGTGGGTGAGCTGGAGCGTGTCCTGGCCGCGCTGGAGGGTGAGCTCTACGTCAACCTGGCTGTCACCTATGTTAACCTGGAGCGTGGCCCCCCCTTCCCTCCTGCCCCTCTGGGGCTGTTGCCTGATGGTGAAGATGAGGATGAGGATAATAAGGAGGAGGACAAAGAGGAAGAGGAGGAAGAAGAGGAGGAAGAAGAGGAGGGGACAGCCATGTTTTGATGGAGTGCTCTGCACTGTGGGGGCCACTGGATCCCCATACACTATGGGCACGCTTGCCCTAGGAGGGATGCAGCATGCAGCTGGGTGCTACGAGGCACTCTCCCTGTGGGATGGGTGCTGAGAGGCAGCTGAGTGCTGTGAGGTGCTCTCCCATGGCTCACACCCGGACCTTGCTGGGTGCTCCCCAGGCTTGGCCCTATAGCACAGGGTGCCATGGGGCTCTGTCCTGCACTGGCTGGGTTCTGGGGTCTCAGCCCCACAGTGACTGGGTGCTGTGTGGTCCCAGGCTCAGCCCCACAATAGTGAGCCTCTGCTGGGGGGCCGCGGCAGGTGCCATAGGGTGACCTGGCCCACCCATGGGTGCCTGGGTGTTTCCAGCCCCTTGGCTGCTGGAATGACTCATTAAAACCTACTTCTGTTTTTACCAAGCACTGGGCTGTGTCTCTGGGGGGGACCGTGCTTTGGCTGGCAGCACCCCTGTCCCCCTGTGAGGAGGGTGCTCACCCCCCATGGGGCACCCACTGTTCCCATACCAGCCATTCGAAGGCACCTGCACGCTGGTGCTGGTGTGGCCACCCCGGACCCTGTCCCCTGGTGCCCACCACGCTGGGACCACCCTATGCACCCCTGGGACCACCAGCCCCTGTGCTTAGGGGGGGACCCAGGGAGACACCAAGCTAAAGGATTCTCCTGAAAGTCCCTCTGGCTGGAGCCTGTAGCCCTGCTTGCTAGTGGTCCCAACGAGCAGTGGGTGCCAACTGTGCCCCTCACCTCTGCCCCCTTACCTGGGTGGCTGGGGGCTGTGGTGGTGATGTGGCATCTCACAGGTACAGCACCATACACCTGGTCTTGGGGTGATGGTGCCCCTCGGATCCCACTGCCCAAGGTGTGGGTCATGGTGACCATGGGATCACAGCATGATGGGTGCCTGAGCATGGGATGAGGGTGTCCTTGGGACAACAGGTGCCTGGCTGTGGGATCACTGTGCTGCTGGTGTCACAGAGCTGAGGGTACAGGATTACAGCATCCATGGCATAGAGGTGCCACAGTGCCCAGGACATGGTGCCATGGTGGCAGATGTAGTGGTGCCCAGCCCAGAGTGGTACCCAGTACCAGAGAGTTACTCACCCTGCCTGTCTGCACAGGGTCGTGGTGGGGCACGCTGGATCAGGCTTGGGGGTTCCTGCTTGGTGACCGAGTGTCATTGCCAGTCTCACGTAATTACACCCTAATTGCTCCAGCTGCTGCCTGTGCAGGGGATGGTGCAGCTCGTGCCAGGCGCTGCCCAGGAGCAGGGAGAGCAGCTGAGCCCCAACTGATCCCACCGCCAGACTTTGCTCCTTTTGCTGGCACTGATGGCAGACCTCCCATCTGCGAGGAGCTCACTGACAAGGAGATCCTCCCCACCCCAAGTCTGGGGCAAGAATCCCCTAGAATGAGACCCTGGAAAAGAGGAAGCCATCGGTGATGGGCATCACTCCCCTGAGCTCACATCCAGTGCTCGGGGTGAGGGCAGGGGTGGGGATGGGTGGATGTGCAGGGGATGCTGAAACATGCCCCAGCCCCATGGCCACGGGCAGCTCTGCTTCCCGGTCCGTGGCCAGCCGTGGGGGTCCTGCAGCCGGCCCTGGCTTTAAATAAACCTTCCTCAGCTGCTCATTAAGCGGAGCCGGAGCCCGGGGCCGCGTCAGCTCCTATCAGCCAAGCTGTCCGTCTCCGCCGGTGTCTCACACCTGCACAGCTTTGTCGCCGCTCCCGCAGGGATATATTTAGCGAGGCTGGATCCCGGCATCCCACAGTTCTGGGACAGTGCCTCAGTTTCCCTGCAGTGGGGCCGTGCTGCTCTCCTGACCTAGTGTGGGTGCTCACTCAAGGCCAAGCAGCACCATTTCGGCTGCGCTGCTGAGTTGCTGTAGCAACGGAAAGGGCCCAGCACCGCATGGCTGAACGGGCTGAATCAAAGCCCGGAGGTGCTGGGGGATGCTAGATGCCAGATGGAATGCAGGGATGGATGGATGGATGGATGGATGGATGGATGGATGGATGGATGGATGGATGGATGGATGGACGGACGCATGGATAGGCACCTCAGTGTTACCCTCCTCAGCATGGGGCAGGGTGGCTGTGTTTGGTTGGCAGACGGGTGCCTGTCCCACCGTCTTATGGCACGGTGGGGCAGCCCCAGGGACTCACAGTGTGACAGAGCTGTCAGTGCCTGTGGTGGGGCAGTGCAGCCAGCTGCTTGTTAGCTGACAAGGCTTGCATGGTGGTGATGGTGATGTGCTTTGAGGAGGGCGCCCGCCTCAGGCTGTCATGTGTGTCCCCCCTTAAATGTGCTAGCAGAGATGACAGATTTCATGCTAATATGCATTTATCCTGCCCTAATTACGCTGCGGGAAGTGTGGAGTGAGCACCAGGCCTTCAAAGCCATGGGCTGGCATATGTCTACCCCTGTCTGTCCCTGCCTGCCTCTCCCTGCTGCCAGCCAGGTCCAGTGCTGGTGCTACAGCACAGGGGACAGGCAGGGGCCATCACAGGGTGGCATCTCACATGGCACCTAGCACCCATGCTGCATCTTGGAGGTGTCTCAGAGTTGCTGCCTGGGCTTGGGTGGGCACTCAAGTGGCACCCTGAGGTGCTGCATGGCTGGGCATGGTTGGTAGAGCACCCCGTTGAGCGGTGGGCATGTGTGGCCATGGCATGCCACGCTGTGCAGCGCCACATCGCAGCATGCCCACCCGCCACGGCTGCAGCAGAGCAGCCGGCGTCCCGCCCCGGCAGCACGCCTTGCACACACAGCACTTTAAATGTTTTATTTGGGGAAAGTGCTGTCGTTAGCAGGGATTAATTATTAAAATCGGAGCCATCTATAAAGCATGAGAGACTGCGGGCACACGGGCAGAGCCGGGCACGGACCCGCTGCCAGCAGCGCCTGGGGATGTGCTGCAATGGCGTTTGCCCGTGCTGCCGCAATGGCACCTCGCGCACCTCGGTTCTGAGCCCCTCGTGGCAAAGCGGGTGCAAAGACTGGGTGCAGGCAATGGGTGCACCCATTCCCGTCCCCCCTTCACCTCCACCGCACCCAGGGACGGGGGCTGGAGTGGAGGACGGCCAAAACGGCGTCAAATCAGCGTCGGAGCGAAGCGGCGGTCGCGGCGTCAGCCGGGCCGGCGAGAGGTGGCAGGAGGCAGCAGGCAGCGCCGAGCTGTTTTTAGCGCTGCCGGCGCTGGGGAGCGGGCGTGAAGAGCGGCTGCCGCGGCTCCGCCGAGACGTTTATAGAAACCAGCAGGTCTTGCTAATGATGGCTGTGAGCCGCGGGGGGGGCTGACTGCACCCCGGCCCCGCACCCTGGCACCCCGGTCCTGCTGCCAGCCCTGTACCTCTGCCCTCCCATGCTCGTGCTGGCACCCCTGCAGCCATCTGGGGCTCTGCTGGCCCCCAGGGAGCTCAGATGGACCTGGGGCATCTCTGATGGTCTCTGAGGAGCTTCAGCGGTCTTTGGGGAGCTTTGGTAGCCCTTGGGGATCTCTGATGGACTCCAGAATGCTCTAGTGGTCCCCAGGCAGCTCTGGTGGGCTCCAGGGATCTGTTCTTCACCCTGAAGCCTTACAGCATATAAGACACATCTTTTCTCCTTTTCCTGTCCCTGAGAGAGCACCCACCCTCAGCCAAGGCGGCTCACCCCATCTCAGCACCCGATCAGGACCTGTGCCAGTGCTGGTCCCAGTCTTCTGCCTCAAGATCAGTTCTCTCCCAGCAAGGAGCCCCACATGAAACTCCTTGCCCTGAGCAGCCTCTCTGTGCCCTGGTCCGTACAACCACAGGTACTGCCCCAGTGAGACTCAGGGACCCCCAAAGGTCTTCCGATGGGAAGGGGAACCAAAGCCTGATGCCATGGGTGATGTCATCACAGTGATGCAGGCAGTTGCTAGGGCGACTGAGCTCTCACCCCCACCAAGGCAGAGCTCCAGGTAGCAGCGCAAGCACTGGATGTGATGGGGGCCAAGCCAATGGACAGGTACAAGGCTTTGTGCGCTGTTGTCATTGACACGGGGACAGGCCACACAAGGAGCGGGCTGGCTGGGGATGAGCAGCTGCGGTCGGTGGTGCCCAGCCAGGCTGGGGGCAGCCCCGTCCTCACCCACGGTGTGGTCACTGACTGGGACGGGCTGGAGGAGCTGTGACACCGCATCCTCTACCAGGAGCTGTGTGTCTGCCCCGAGGAGGTGGCCGTGCTGGCCACGGACGCCCCGCTTTCCCCCACCGCCAACCGGGAGAAGATGGCCGAGCTGCTCTTCGAGGGCTTCGGGGTGCCGGCCATGCTGGTGCTGCCCCGCTCCCTGCTCGCCGCATACTCCTATGGGCGCACCACCGGCGTGGTGGTGGGCTCCGGCGCCGGTACCTCATACGCGGCAGGGGTGCGGGAAGGCTACGCGCTGCCACACGCCACCTTCCGCCTGGACGTGGCTGGGGATGCCCTCACCCTCTACCTGGGCCAGCTGCTGGAGTCCCGCGGGGTCCACCTCGACACTTACCCCCTGTGCCACCTGAAGGAGACCTGCTGCTGCGTCCTGCCGTGTGCCGGGAGGCCCCAGCCCGTCACCCCCCCAGCACCTCGGGGCTGCTCCAAGAGGATGAGCGGTTCCAGTGCCCCGAGATGCTGGTGGCCCCCACGGCCCTGGGGCTGCCGGGGCCAGGGCTGCTGGAGCAGGCATCCCATAGCCTGCACCGCTGTGGGAGCCCCACCGGCAGCCCCCCACCCTGCCTGCTGCTGGCAGGGGGCACCACGCTGCTGCATGGCCTCCCCCAGCGCCTGTCAGCAGAGCTGGGGGTCCCTGCCGAGGCCGCCCCACACCGCCATGCAGCTGCCTGGCTGGGAGGGTCACTGGCCGCTGCCCTCGATGGCTTCCAGGGAGCATGGGTGCCACGGGACGTCTATGCAGAGGGCGGCCCTGCCATCGTGCACTCCCACTGCTGCTGACCCTAATAAAGGCCCACGAGTGGCAACTGGCGGCTGCACCCCTTTATTTTCTCCCTCCCCCCCTCTACCAGCCCCCCGAAAGGATGGATGGGGTTTATTTGGCCCCGTTGCCAGGCCGACACACGCAATTACCGCTGATTGCCTGACGGTTGCCATGGCGATGGCGAGCACGCAGGGATGTGGTGCCGCGTGGCGCTTGAGTCACGGCCATGCTGCACGGCCCCCCGCTGCACCCCGCTGCACCCCACTGCACCCCAGCAGCAGCCCCCCGGCATGGGGCTGCCAGGCTAGGCTGGCCCTGGACCCCCTCCAACACTGTCTGGGGCAGAGAGGTACAGCCAGGTGTCCCCCATCCTGGGTCCCCCCCACCCGAGCAAAGGGTCCCCAGCCTTGGCAGATCCACCTTGGCAGCCTCTTGTGCCAGAAGGCCTACAGAAAATGTCACTCCAGACCAGTCAAGTCACCCTGAACCCAGCTCTGGGCTCACCATGGGCCAGTGGGAAGGGTGGTGGGTGCGTGGAGGACTGGGTGCATGGAGCACTGGATGTATGTGGTGATGAGTGCATGGGGCAGTGGGTGAGCAGGTCAGCGGGTCAGGGCACAGCAGGGACAAATGCTGGTGGGTTCAGCAGAGCTGATCATCCCAAAATGGGGCACGGGGTGATGCGAGATCTGAACCAGAGGGCAGTGATGGAACCCTGGGGCAGTTCTGCCATGGCAGGAGGCTGGTGCCAGGAGGTGCTGGGCACGAGGCAGGCTGAAGGGGCTGGAGGCACTACAGGGGACAGTGTGGCCACGAGGGGTGGAGGAGTCACAAGGGATGGAGGAGCCCATCCCACCCCTTGTGTTGTGAGCCACTGCTGGGCAGTGCTGAGCCGTGCCGGGCGCCTGCTGGGTAATTGTGAGTTACACTCCAGGTTCCTGCAAGGTGCAGAGATTAATAACTGCGCTGCACTGCTGCCAGCCGCTATGATTAAACTCTTGATTAGAAGCTCAAACTACAGCGCCCTGCTAATTCCCCAGCTCTCACGCGCCGTTAATTACCCAGTGCGGGTGACGATGGGCCTGGGTCTTGCGGTGGGTCAGATGCAGGGGGTACCCTTGTGCTGCATCTGCCTTGGGGTGCTGGCTGGTCTCCCTGGGAGCAGAGGGGAGATGCCAGCTTTAGGGATGGGATCCTGGTGTCTCCTGCCCATGGGTCTGCCTCACCCAAGCTTGTGGGGCTGGGGAGAGGATGTGGCCCTGTGACAGCTCAGGACCAGGCAGTTTTGGGGAGCTGGGGTTTGGTGGGTGCAGGGCAGAAGGGGAGGCGAGTGCGGGTGCAGCTCAGAAGCGGCACCATATGGGCCACAAACGCCAGTGTGCAGCATGATGCCATGCGGGAGGCTCCACGCACGCAGCTGCACTGCATGAGGAGCGAGGTGCTCTGGGAACTGGGGGAGGGGGTGGCGGGCCCTGCTGCACCCCAGGGCTGTGCTGTCCACCCTGGGCTGGCTGCCATGTCCAGGAGGTGGGCAGAGTTAACAGTATTAGGGTGGCTGATTTCTTGCCCCTTTCTTCCCCTTGGCCTGGGCTGTGGGGAATGGATAATCCCTGTCCATGGGGGAGTGAGTGGGGACGCACAACTGTGGAAGGAGGACAAAGGAAGTTGCCTGGTTCCCGTAGGATCATGGCACAGAAGTGGGACCATGTGTCTGCGTGTGTCTTCATGGTATATGTGACGCTGGGCCCACACTCAGCTCTGCTAATAACCTGCTCCTGTCCCATCTTATCCAGCCTGTTTCATCCCACCCCACTCCATCCACCCTGTCCTATTCCATCCCATCCATCCCACAACATGTCAATCCACCTTATCGTACCCCATTCTTCCCATCCATCCCATCCTACACCACCCATCCCATCTCTCTCATCTGTCCTGTCCCATCCCACCCACCCCATCCTATCCTGCACCATCCCATCCGGGGCAGGCAGCCACGGCCCAGCCCAAGGGACCCTGGTGCATCCCAGCGTTTTGCATCTCACTTCAGTCCCCACCACCTCAGTGAAGCCCACCGTGACACCAGAGCTGCACCAGGAGCCTGCAGGCTCGGTGTCCCTTTGGGTGAGCACCTCCTCGGCCGAACAGAAAGGATGGGGAGAGTGCCACGGGCTTGGGGGACATCGCAGACCGCTCTGTCTCACCCGGCTGGGCAGCAGCAGGACCTGAGCACCCCACGGGGGCTCGCGGGTATTGGCGCACCCCACACGTGGGTGCTGGTGGGGGTCCCGCGGGGTGCCCCTGACCGTGTTTACGCCCTGCCCGCGTTGCGGGGCAGCTCCGGAGCCGCGGCCGCCCCGTCCCGCCGCGCTGCGGGACTCGCCCCATCACCACGCGTGACCGTTCCCGCGGTGCCTCTCGGGCGGGGCGCGAAGTTTGGCAGTGACGTCAGGGGCGGGGCGGGGCTCTCGGCGGGGGGCGGGCCCCCGAGGTCCCGCCCCCCCAACTTGCCGCGCCGGGCGCGCGGGGCCGCGCCGCGACGGACCGACGGCTCGGCTCGACTCGGCTCGGCTCCGCACCGGCCCCGCGCGGAGGGAGCGAGGGAGGGGCGTGCGGCCCCCCCGAGCGGCGGCCCCGGGCCGCGGCCCCCCTTTGCGGTCGAAGAGGCGTGCAGGTGAGAGCGCCGCCGCGCCGGGACAGAGCCGAGCAGAGCCGGTCCGGTCCGTGCCGTGCCGCGGGCGGGGGGGGGGGGGAGCCAGGACCGGGATGGGGGCGTTGATGGGACTTGGCACTTGTGGGCTCGGGGCTGTCCCCCACGCACCCCCCACCCCCCCATCCGCGGTGGCCCGGGACATCGCGGCCGGTCCGTGCTCGGCTCCGTGCGCGCTCCGACGGCCGCCCGCTGCTGCCCCGTCCCTGCCGGCATCCCGCGTCCCGCAGACCCCGAGCCCCGACGGGGGCCCCGAAGTCCGGCTCCCCCCCGCGCCTCCCCGCTCGCCGCCCCCGTGCCGCTTCTGCGCGGAGCCCGGAGAGCCCCGTGACGGGGCAATGATGCTGGAGACCCTCGCCCCGCTCTCCCGCCGCCGGGCGTTTCCTTCTGGGTCCATGCTCCTCTCCCTGCAGCCCGCTCCCTTCCCGCTGCCGCATCACTCCGAGCCGGCCCCTGCCGAGACTTCGCCCGCGGTGCGCGGCCCGGGCCGCCCCTCCGCACTATCCCGGGGCTCCCCCCGCCAGCCCGGGTGCTCCTGCGGCCAGCGGGCGGCTGGCGCAGCCCCTCCGCCTGCCGTTGCCCGGCTCCCCCCTGCGCCAGCAACACTTCGGTCCGTCTCGGCCCGGCTGCGGTTTCTCGCTCTCCGCGGTACATCCTCTACCACAGATGTTGGGAGGAATGGGGGGCGACAGCGGGGACCCCCGACACAGACTCGTCCGGGGCAGCTGCAGGTGGAAGCGGGGCCGGGGCAGGAGCCCGGCCGGGGGTACCCGCGCCGTGGGGCAGATCCGGGGTTCGGGGGGCTGGGGGACCCCGCTGGTGAGGGCTGTGGGGCTGCGTCATCTCTTCGTGCCGTCCGCACCCAGCCACCCACTTCCCCGCTATTGTCTTACACCCGCTGTTGCTTCTTGCTCCCAAATTAGATGCTTCAGCGGGGGGGGATGTGCGCGGGTGCCGGTGCAGCACCCAACCTCCCCCCCCCCCCCCAGCACCCCGGGGAGGGAGCACTCCCCTTTCACCCACTGCTTGCCTGGGTGCCCCTGCCATAGTGGGGGTACTCTCACCTGTGGGGTGCAGGTGTTGGCCCTGATGTAGGGCTGGGTGCCAGCCTCCCTTGTGGGGTACCCGGTGTACAGTGAGCCATGCCTCAAGCCAGCCTGGGACCAGCAAGGGTGCCGGTGCTCAGCCCCAGCAGGATGGGTCCCTGCTAAATGAACGGGAACTAATTTTATGAGCGCAGATTAGCTGATCACTCGCAGAGACAGCAATAAAATCCTGATATATCATCCCGCCCGGGTCCCCTTCCTGGCTAATCCTGGCATCACGCCATTGGCGCTGGCAGCCTGCCCGCAGGACAGCCTTACCCCTGCCAGCACCGAGCCTGCCACCACACCAGCAGCTGCCGGGACAGCCCTTGTGCTCCTCTGCTGGGCATGGTGGCACGGCAGAGCTGGTGTCATGCAGCACAGGGTCATGGAGGTGCCAGGCAGGGCATATTTGCTGGGAAGGCTGTTGGATGTGATGAGCGTGGGCTGGAAAGCCTCAGCCGGTCTGTGCCATGGGTAAGGGTGTCCCATGGGTGCTCTGCTTCTCTTTTGGGACTGAGTGCACCCTTAGCGGGATAGGGATGGGTGCTTTTGCCCAACATGGGCTTTTCGGCAGGAGGGTGCCTGGGTGTCGGGTAATGTGGGAGCACCCATCCTGCAAGCATTGCTCAGGCAGACACAGAGGCAAGTCAGCCCCAAGGGGTGGAAGCAGGAAGGAGCATGCCCCCATTCTCTGGCTCACTGCACCCACATCCCACCCAGGTTTGGGGTCAGTCACCCTAGGGAGTGCTCAGGTGCATGTCCTGGGTGCTGCAGGCAGGATCACCTTCCTCCTGGGGCCTGCGTGGCAGGAACGGTGCCGTGCACCCGCAGGTGGGTCGAGCGCTGCTGGGTGCTGCCCGTCCCTGCCCCCTCCTCCCAAGGATGTGCCGCTTTCTGCATCTCCAGCTCCCATTGCCATAGCAACAGGCTCGGCGCTTGGGTACCCGTGATGCCGACTCCGCATCCCGCACTGCCATCCTGCCCGTGGCCCGCCAGGGCCCAGGCATTGCTGCCATGGCACTACATGATGAGGCGGGCACAGCACAGTGTGGTGGTTCAGGAACTTCAGGATCGGGCAATGTGTGCCCTCAGCGTTGTGCCAGCATCCCATTGCAGGGCCCCACTCAGGCCCTTCCAAGAGGGCTAGTGGAGCTAGGTAGCCCTGTCTCCTTCTGAGCCATCAGAAAAGAACATCTGCTGAGATTTCCTCCCAGTAACAGGATGGGAAAGGGGAAAAAATTACTTTATGGGGCCCATTTTTTGCTGGAATGCGTCTTAGCAGGGTCTGGCTTTGAAGGGTTCCTAGTAGGAAAGCAAGGGGCAAAATGTCCTTCCTAAAGGGCTGGAGGAGCCAGTGTGTTCCATGGCTGGTGTTCTGTCTGCTGCCAAACCGGGGTGCTGCGGTTGGGCCACTGCAGCTATTAGGGGACAGGGAGTTGAGGCTGGTGTAACTCATTGCACATGTGATGTTGTGTGGCGATGCTCTGCTGGCGGAAGAAGAAATGTCAACGTGGGGCACAACTGGGCTGAGAAATGAGAAAGGGTCTGTTCTCCTCTGCTGCCTCCCCAGTGTGTGCTCCGAGCTCTGCGCTAGCCCTGGCTACTTAAATCATTACCGATCTGCAAACAGGGGCCAGAAGGGCTGGCCACCGGCAGCCCGAGCCCCAGCAGAGCAGCTGGATGCCACAGTGCTGAACATACATTGGTGAGGCTGGGCATGTGGTGGCCAGCGGCGGCCAAGAAGCACCAGCAGCCGCTGCGCTTTGATAGGCTTCACATTAATTAGTACAGCTACAGGGGCTGGTGGTGCTGGGTGCTCAAAGCCTCTCCCTGCCCTGCCAGCACCGGGCCCTGCGATGCCGTTTGGCTGCGTGACGCTGGGAGACAAGAAAGATTATAACCAGCCGTCCGAGGTGACCGACAGATATGACCTGGGCCAAGTCATCAAAACGTGAGTTGGTCCCTTCCCGGACCCACGGTGCCTAGGGGACCCCAACCCCCTGCATGTCCTGAGCTTAGCGGGGGGGGGGGGGATGCTTTCAGGGTGCTGCTCCCCAGCTGGGATGGGCAGGGTGCATTTTGGGGTGGCTGTCCCCTCCTTTGTCCCTCTCACTGGTGGGCACTCACCACCACCTCTGAGGAAGGCAGCTGCTGCCAGCTGCAGCTGGGTGGCTCCCCATATCCCTCCCCCCAACATTGCAGGAATCCTGCATGATCCTAGCTCCCCCGAGCACTCCAGGAAGCAGGAGGGCTCTGCTCCAGCAAAAGAAAGTGCATCTGGGGGTGGGAGCGGAGCGCTTCTGCTTCTCCCCAACTTTTACTGCCGTGCTGGGGGACCCTCTAGAAAGCGCTCCAAAACCTGGAACCTTCAGACTCAATGAGAGTGGTTTGACCCCAAAATATGCACCAACATTTTTCCCATTGGCCTCTAAAACACTGGGACCACATGGCCGTGGGTCACACCTGGCAGGGTTACACTGGGCATCTTGTTGGGTGCTGGCAGAGCTCTGCTCCAATCTTTGGGCAGCCTGTCCCAAAGCCCATGGGTCTCAGCTTCCATGCACCTAGGGCAGATGCCACAAGGGTTTTGGCACAGCCAAGGTAGCTGGAAAGCCAAAGGCTTTGTTGGAGCGGTGCTGAGGTCCGTCCCCCCCGCCCCCATCCCGGGGGCTTCCTGCAGCTCTGGCTTGGCTGATGGGCTGGAGCACCATTAATAATAGAACAGACCTATTGCAGCATCCCCCTGCACCAGTGCGTCTCCCCTTTTCTCTTCCTGACTGCAGCACTGACATTAATGCCGGGGTGTGCTGCTGTTCCTCCGCGGCACACGCAGCAGGTCCTGCCCTGGCTGTCATGGGGAGGGGGCCTTTTAATCAGCAAAATTCCCCCTTCCCTATAAGTTTGATTATTCCCCATCAGTTCCTTTTCACTGCCCTCTTTTCCTCCATGCTATGGAGAGGATTTTAGCCGCAGCTTCCTTCCACTCCTGCAGCATCTCCCCTTGCCGGTGGGATGGGGTGGTGCTGGGGACCACCTGAACACCTCAAGCTCCCCAGGAGGGTGATGCTGTGGGTGCTCTTACAGGGAAGAGTTCTGTGAGATCTTCCGGGCCAAGGAGAAGTCAACGGGGAAGCTGTACACCTGCAAGAAGTTTCTGAAGCGGGACGGGCGGAAAGTGCGGAAGGCAGCCAAAAACGAAATCATCATCCTCAAAATGTGAGTGCTGGGACTGGGGTTGGCTCCCATGCCGCGGAGCAAAGCAGGGACCCCCACCCATGCCCCTATTTCTCCATAGGGTGAAGCACCCCAACATCCTGCAGCTGGTGGACGTCTACATCACCCGCAAGGAGTATTTCATCTTCCTGGAGCTGTAAGTGTTAGGGGTGCAGGGGGGGCTGGCTGGGGCTGCCCCAGGGGTGGGTTTTGGAAGAGCTGCTGTTGGCAGGGCCACCGGCCGGGAGGTCTTTGACTGGATCCTGGACCAGGGCTACTACTCGGAGAAGGACACCAGCAACGTCATCCGGCAGGTGCTGGAGGCTGTTGCCTACCTGCACTCACTTAAGATTGTCCACAGGAACCTCAAGGTTGGTGGTGGTGGGGTGGGAGCACCCATGGGTGCTGGTGTGCCCCCAAGCCCGGCACTCACAGCCCCTGCTCCGGCAGCTGGAGAACCTGGTGTACTATAACCGCCTGAAGAACTCCAAGATCGTCATCAGTGACTTCCACCTGGCCAAGCTGGAGAACGGGCTCATCAAGGAGCCCTGTGGCACCCCCGAGTACTTGGGTGGGTGAGAGCCGGGTGGACAGGCAGCACAGCTGGGGTCCCAGCAAATCCCTGCTTCTCCTTGCTACCCTGGGGACCAGTCCTGGGGGCTCCCATTAGGTCCCTTCCAATGGTCATGGGTGCTCCTAGTGGATTCCCTCTGTTGCTCATCACCCGTGGGCTGATCCTGGGAGCCCCTGGTGTGTCCCTCTCCGCCCCATCACCCCAGGGGCTGATCCTGGGTGCTTCCAGTGGGTCCCTCTCGCTCCCTGTCACACCAGGGGTTGATTCTGGGTGCTCACAGTGGGTCCCATTCTCTCCCCATCACCCCAGGGGTTAATCCTGGGTGCTCCTGGTGGGTCCCTCTGCGCCCCATCGCCTTGGGGACGAGGCACCAGGGGTTGGGGACCCCAGGGCAGGGCCACTCTCTTGTCCCTCACAGCTCCGGAGGTGGTGGGGCGGCAGCGGTACGGGCGGCCGGTGGACTGCTGGGCTATCGGTGTCATCATGTACATCCTGTGAGTGCAGGGTGAGGGATGGGGTGGCTGTGGGGGCTGTGGGCCATGACCGGGGCTGAGTCCCCCAACACTGCCCCCCAGCCTTTCGGGGAACCCCCCCTTCTATGAGGAGACGGAGGAGGAAGACTACGAGAACCACGACAAGAACCTCTTCCGCAAAATCCTGGCCGGGGACTATGAGTTTGACCCTCCATACTGGGACGACATCTCGCAGGCGGGTGAGCCCCACGGTGTGGGGGGAACACATGGGGTGCCTCAGTGTTCCCCCCAGGCACTGACTTCCTCACGCTGTACCCTCAGCCAAGGAGCTGGTGACCCGCCTAATGGAGGTGGAGCAGGACCAGCGGATCACGGCGGAGGAGGCCATCTCCCACGAGTGGTGAGGGGCGGAGGGGGCAGACGGGGCACTGGGGGGGGGGGGGGGGGGCTGGTTGGGGCCGCTCACCCTTCCTCACCTCCCCAGGATCTCCGGCAACGCCGCCTCTGACAAGAACATCAAGGACGGCGTCTGTGCCCAGATCGAGAAGAACTTCGCCCGGGCCAAGTGGAAGGTGAGTGGGGGTGCCCCGTGCCTCAGTTTTCCCTCCCGGCCGACCCCAGTCCCCCGGCACGGGGCTGTCAGCCTCGGGGGTTCCCAGCCCCAGCGAATCCCGCAGCCTCCAGCAGGCATCTGCGGTGGGGAACCCGACTCCGCGGTGAGGGGCCCGGGGGCAGCGGAGCACCCGTGCCCGACGGCTCCTTGCCTCTCCCCACGCAGAAAGCGGTGCGAGTGACCACGCTCATGAAACGCCTGCGGGCGCCCGAGCAGGCGGAGACGGGCCCGGCCTCGGCTTCGGCCTCGGCTTCGGGTCCGGCCCGGGCCGCGGGTCCAGCCTCGCTCCTTGCCCGCGCCGCCGCCGCTGCCAAGGACAATGCGGCCTCCGCTGCTCCCAGCCCGCCGCCCGCCGCCGCGCAGCCCGAAGCCCCCGGCACGCCGCCCGCCGAGCCCACCACGTGTAACGGGGAAGGGGCTGCCGCCGCCGCCGCCGAGCCCCCCAGCGAGCAGACCGGCTGAGCAGCGGCGGCCCCGGCACCCCCCTTTGTACATAGCCCCGGCATGGCCCCCGCGCCCCCGCCTGCGCCCCCTTTTCTACGTGCCCCGACGGAGAGCCGGCCGCGGGGCAGAGCCCTGCATGGAGCCCGTCCGACCCGCCCCCCCGGCGGCTTTGCCGGTCGGTCTGTCCGTCCCTGCCCCGTCCCGCTCTCTCAGTCTGTCCCCCGCCGCCGTGTCTCGTCCCCCCCCATCCCGCCCCGGGGATGTCCAGCAGAGATACGGGGCAGCCCCCCCCGGCCGCACGCCCCGCAGGGCTGGGGTGGGGAGCTTCGCGCGGAGCCCCCCAAACACACATGCATGTGCGGGGCCGCGGGGGGGGCCCGGCGGGCAGAGCACCCGGTACCCCCTCTCCAACCCGGGGGGCGCGTTGCAGGGGCGAAGGAGCACCGGGAGCCATTCCCCAACACCCCCCCCCCCCCCCCCCGCGTCGTGCCTGGAGGATCCCAAATGTTCCCCCCCGGCTCCCCCCCCTCCCGGTCGCCGCTTCCCTCCCTCGCAGCTGCATGCCTGCAGGGCCGGCTCTGCCTGCGGCTGCCGCCGCGCCCCTCCTTCTCCCCCCACCCCAGGCTGTATCTGGCAAATAAAGACCCCGCTGAGGACAAACTGAGACAGCACCAGCGCCGCCTGCACCGTCTCTCTGTGGGGCGCGGGGTGCCGGCAGCTGGACGGGATAAGTAACGGCCGCGGGGTGCCTCCCCCCCCGACCCCCCGTTAGGCTTCAGCGTACACGACCGGAGAGACCCGAGGGAGCGGCGGGCGTAGAGACCCGGCGGCGCGGCCCGCAGGACACGCCCCCCCACCGAGGCTCCGCCCCCCCCGCTTCTCCTCTCTCCCCTTGAGGTCACATCCGCACCGGGCCGGAAGCGGCGGGTGCGCGGCCGTATTTGAACGGCGGGGTACCGCGCGGCTGCCGCGGTCGCGGGTTCGTGTCCCGCTGGGGCCGCCCGCCCACCCGGCCCCGCCATGCCCATCCGCGCACACTGCACCATCTGCTCCGACTTCTTCGACAACGAGCGCGACGTGGCGGCCGTGCCCTGCGGCCACACGTTCCACTACGTCTGGTGAGCGCGGGCCTGCGAGGGGGATGTGGGCGTTGTGTTTTCCGGTCCCGCCGCGGTACCGGTACCGCCGGCTCCCGTTCTCGCTCCGGTTGCCGTCGCTCTGATGCGCCGTTTCGCTTTGCAGCGGCACCCGGTGGTGCCGTCAGCCCGCGGCCTCCCCACTGCGGAGCCGGCAGGTTGCTCCGGGCAGGGTGTGTGTGCGGAGGGGCCGGTGCCGTGCTCCCGCTGCGGGTGTTCTGGAAGTGCTGGTGTCGAAAGAAGCGTTTCTCGGTCAGAAATAAACGCTGTGTGCGGGTAGGGAGCGGCTGTTTGCTTCCCGGGGCCGGCCGCCTCTTGACCAGGGGCACAGCTCGGGCTTGCGCTCCTCGAACGGCCGGCGGAGGAGGAGGAGCTTCCAAAGGAAACCTGCCAGCTCCAGGTTGTTGCGGTGCTCCAAAAATAAACCCTTCTGAGCGTGACGTGATGCCTTGGTTGCAGAATGCACTCGCAGCTCTCCCGGGGAGCCCGGCAGGTTGGTGTTCATCATCGCGGGGCACAGCGGCCCAGGCTCCCTCCCTCCACAGATGTGTGTTTGGTGTCAGCAGCACCCTTTGGAGCTGACCCTGCTGGGGATCTCAGCTGTTGTATCCTGATACGGCAGCTCCTGCGCTGTTCTTTGTGGCGATCTGAGTGCTCCTGCAAAGCTCTGGTTATTCAGAGGCTCTTTCCTAGGGAGATCTGAGTGCTGTGAAGGCTCTGCCCTGGTAAAGATAAGCTCACGTGCTAAATTCAGCTGGGAATTGTCTCGGGGGTGAAGGAAGGGTGCCTGTGCTGCAGCACAGTGTTCCTGTTAGCTGCACCTCTGGACTAAATGCTTTTTCTGGTTTTAGCTGTGAAAAGGAGGTGCATCCTGCTGTCTTCTGGTGAGCCAGGGGGCTCTGGGAGCAGTGCTCCTAGGGTTTAAGGATTGACCACGTGTTTCTTTTCCTTTCTCAGTCTGATCCAGTGGTTTGACACAGCACCTAGCCGGACCTGCCCGCAGTGCAGAATCCAGGTAAAACCATCCCCTGCGTACACCTCTCTATGGCACAACTCTCTGCAGATGCCCTCAAGGAGCTGTGGCCTAGGCCTGGGGTGGTGTGAGGAAGAGGCTTAGGGTATGAAACACAGTTTTCTGTCACTTCAGGCTCTCCTTAAAGGGTCAGAGAGCGATCTCCCTTCAGCAGCCATTCCAATCAGAGGGGTGGTCTGGGGGTGCCCTGCTGCTGTTCCTGTTGTAGCTTTTCCAGAAAGGGTCTCTAGGTTTTCATGGCTTTTATTTAGGCTGAGTAAGCATTGTCATAATGATGGAAAGGGCTGGAAGGGGTTAATCAGGCCAGGTTAATCCGACTTGTGTTTCTGGAGTACCCTACCCCTTGCCATCAGGTAAGCAGCCCCTTCTGCTGCATGTGGTCCTTGTAATTGAGGTGCTTTGCAGCACTTGGCTCTTTATTGAGCATAGCAAAAGCTGGAGAGGGAAGGAGGGATGTGAAGGAAGGATGTGCTTCTGAGACGGGAAGCCAAGGCTTGGGAATCCAGTGGCTTAATTGGGACCTGAACTTCTCTGAAGTCCTTTGTGTCACCAGCCTTGATGCTGCCAGTAGGTCTTGGTGTGTAGCGGCTGCAGGAGATGTTGACGCACACTCAGATGTGGGTTTTCAGGCAGCTGCAGCTTGGGATTGTTCTGTGTTCGTGCTTCTTTTTTTCTCTCAAGGTCTTGGCCCTTGTTCCTTCCCTGACTTGTTGATTCCCTCTGTTCTTCACTGCCTCTTACATCTCTGGGTTACCATGGAGTTATCGCGAAATAACATCTCATGTAGCAGTAACCATGCAATTAGCTGGTGTCATGACTGTATATAATACTTAAAACACAAAGCTGTAACTGCATGGGGGAGGTGTGGAGAGCTATCAAATTCAATTACAGCACCTTCTGCCTGCAGAAAGCATCACGTACTTCTGTCTTAGGATTTGGCATCATGTTAGCTCAGCGTCAGCTGCTTGGGCCTTAGCTGCCAGAGAACAGACTGCGCTTGATTCAGAAATGCCTGAATCTTTCTGCTGCAGCTCAGGAGCTTGGCTGGAGTCGCGCTCACAAAACTGAGTGGGGGGGTCTGCTGCTCTTCTGATGAGCCAAAGCAGAGCATCGTCACTAACGGCATTGAGCACGTGATCTGACTTGTCTTTCATGGCCTTGTGACAAGATGGTACCTTTTCCACCCTCCATCTGTCTTCAATATCCGTTGTGTTTCTGTATCTGTGCCCATCAACCTCTTCTGTCTCCTGTGTTTAGGTTGGCAGAAAACACATCATCCATAAGCTGTTTTTTGATGTTGCCTTGGAGGAGCAGGCAGTGCCGGATGCAGAGACCTTGCAGGTAATTTGGCTATGTGGATCTGTTGTGTGATGCTTCAGCACCCTGAGATCATGGTCTGGGCTGCCCATCCTCTGCCAGCAGCTGCTTCCTGAGCTGGTGCTTACAGTGCTGTGCTCATGTTTCAGATCTGAAGCACATCAGTGTCTCCTGCCTGTCTCTGTTCTCCCTCTTGGTGCTCACCCAGTCTCAGCCCTGTTGCAAGGAAGTCTCCATACGGTGGTTTAAGAGCTCCCCCTGACCAGGACTTGTGAAGCCTCCTCTACTTCAGTGCTCTTTCTTCTGGTTCTCACCTTGCCTGGAAAGCTCCCAAAGCAGCACCAAGCAAACATCCACCTGCCGCTTCTCCCTTGGTGTGCTGAAGCCTTGGGGATGAGGCTACAGAGCTCTTCCAAAAGGCAGCAGAAGGAAAATCCCAAATGCAGTTAATTGCTGCTAGTGTCTGTGGCTTGGTTGTGTGTGAGGTCTTCTTACCCCTTCATTAGAGGAAGTGCCCTGTCCTCACTTGCGTGCAGGTGGGCTTGTTTGCACAGACTGTAAGGAAATGGGACAGGGTGGTGAGAGTCATGGTTCCCCAAGAGAGATTAGAAATAGATTGCCTGAAGCTGCACCAGCAGTGGTGACAGTGCTGAGGCTGGTCCCTGGGGAGGATCCTGGCTGGAGCTGGTTCATGTTCTCTAAGCTCCACTTTTAGGTGTAGAGAGCTGGGGGTGAGAAGGGATGAATGCGCAGGGGCTGTTCCACTGTTCCATGTTCTCCTCCTTTGCTTAGCGTGGATGAAACATGGCTCCTTATGTCTTGGAGTTGTCCCAAAAAAGTAACTGGTTGACCTTGGTATAATGGGATGCTTGTACCCTCTCATGTTTAGAATCAGCATGTGCAGCAATTACCATAATTAGCAGTTGCCATGACAATGCTATATGTATATCGTATGTTTTTAAAATAGAGCCAGCCAGACTATAATGTCAGCAGCACTGCCGTTCTCCAAGATCGCTAATAGAGGAACTGCAGGCTGAAGTGTGTGTGCTGAGGAAATGAAGATGCATCTCTGGGCACTTGAAGCTGTGTTCCTTAGAAGCAAAGCAATGGCTTGGAGCAGATAAACATTGCCTTTAGTACATACTCCGATCTGCTCTCACAAATGTAAATACATGAGTGACTCAGAAATGGGTTGACTGGAGAAAATTGCCCTAGAAAAAGCTTTCTTTTCCCTCTCACCCCCACCCCAGGATCTAAGATGGGCTCCTCCAGGCAGGCTGTGCTGAAGAACTGCTCCCGTGCTCAAAGGCAGGATTGTGCAGCCACCCCTGCACAACAAGCTTGATGGTAACTCATCATCTCCTACACAGTTTGCTGTGTGGCTGTCAGAGCAGCATCTGGCCCCGAGTGTGCAGCTTTCCTAATGAGAGTGCTGAGGTCACTCTAAAGGCAACCAAATATTTTTGGTGTAGATTAGCATAGTTAGCTTGTATGGGCGTTTACTGCCTCATGCACTGATTCGGCTTGCTGCTGGGCTGATGCTGGTTTGTTACACATTTCATGTGTGCTGCCTTGTTTCTGAATGACATGGAGCACCTTAAGAGCATGGGTGACTATCAGGGGTGGGATTGGATTTAATGTCTATCTAGTCTGGAGTGATGATGGGGTATCTGTGTGGGTAGAGATACCCACATCACTGTCTCTATGGTGGGGTATCTGATACTGGGCAGGGCGGCAGTTCAGCAGAGCAAACACATGGTGGGCAATCCCCCAGCTCTTTAGAGGCTGAGAATTGGTGACATCCTCAGCCAGAAGTGATTTCACCTGAAAAAGCCTCCAAACACAGGGTTTGTTGCCAACCACTGCCTGTCCCTCCAAGAGCCTGGGCATAGAGTGGTACTTCGCTCTGAAATCAACTGGAGCTATATCTCTGCAGCCTGCAGATGTTCTGAAATGAGCATTTGGCCTCCTTCCATGGAAAGGTTGGGCTGGGGCAAGGCAGTGTGCTAGGAAGCAGAATATTAGCTGTGGTCCTCTTGGGGCTCTGAAGAAGTGGTGGCAGGGCTGCTTTGCTTTGCTTTCCATCACCAGCATCAGCTTCAACTGAAACACTGGAGGGGACTTAGTTCCCTGGAGTAGCTGCAGACCACAGGCTGAACGCTGCGACATGCCCAAGTGTTTTTGGGTGCTGAGCCTGGGTTTATCCTGTGTTGCTTTTAAAGATGGTCCTTGGTGATTAGAACAGCCTCCATGTGGCTGTTTCCAGAGTGGGAAAAGTGTGAGGTTTTGCGTGTAGCGCTGTGGTGAGGCCATCTGGAACCTGATGCTTCCAGTTGCTTGTGATTTGGGGAGCAGACAGCCCTTCTTCCAAAGGAGACTAGGAGACTTTGTCTTGTTCAGCCAGGTGAAGAAGAGGAAAGAGGAGAATTCCTGCCTGTAAACCTGCTGGGGAGGGTAGAAACCTGGGAAGACAGCTGTCTGTGATGGGGATATATTAATTTGATCTTGGGGAAAATGTGGCCTTGTAACTCAGGCTGGCAGAGGGAGGAGAGCTTCTATCAGAGGAGTGAAAATTGGGAGCAGTCTTTAGGAGCTGTGGCGGAGGATGAGGATGAGGGATTTTGGATTAAGTTGATGAATGAGGTAATGTTACATAGCTGCCTGCAGTAGCCTGGGATTTCTTTGCTATCATGCTAATTAGCACATCTTGTGAGCTCACTAATCGTTACTGAATAGGACTCTGAGGAAGCTTCTCCAGAATAGCTTCTGCAGCAGAGCTAATTCCATGTCAGCCCTCCAGATGTTGTCCCCCCAGGGTCAAATCCAAGTCAACTCTGCTAGGTTTTCCATTTAGTCCCTCCTGCTTGCCAAGCTTTGCATCCCATATTCTCTTTCCTGCCTTTACTGTCGGTAGCAGAGCTTCACTCTGGTCCCGTCAGATCCGTGGTCACTGGCAGTGCTATTCTCAGCTCAGATTTGCATGTAGTGTTCCGGGCTGCACAGATTTGTGTGCTCTGCTTCAGTACTGTGTTGGCATTTTATTGTGGTTTTATTCCACTGCAGTTCCTGCCTGACTTGTTATGTGCTTTCCTCTGCAGTTCTCTAACACAGCTTTTTAAGTCATCTTCTGTTGACTCTTTCCTGTATATATTTGTGTCTCTCTTATTCTGTTTGTTTTTTCCCCTTTTTTAATATTATATATAGATAGCCTCTCTTTATAACCTCTCTACATTTTATTTGACTATTTGCCAGTGTTCATAATTCCTGTTGCTATAATTTAAGCTATGGGGCATTTGCTGCCTCTTTTTGATCCTTAATGAAGGCGTTGGAAGTATTTGATGTTCCTCAGAGCCTTGTGGCACCCAGGAGACATTACGCACTCTCATATTGCTATGGTATGGATTGGTTTATGGGTGATCTATTTGTGGCTGTTCAAGTAAGCTGTCAGCTCGTACCTGCTTCCTGAATGGCAGTGACTTCAGGGTCAGTCAGAACGCTGGCTGGTGCCTTTGGGCTGTGTGCTGGGTGACCTTCTCAGGTGTTTGGACATACCCTCCTGTCTCCCACCAGCACCTGATTCAAGTTCACTTCAGTTCAAAGCAACTCTCAATCCAGTTAGTCTGGCAACATCCCTGCCTTATTGCCTTGTTTAGGTAAAACATTATAAAAATTGCTCCTGTCTGATTTCCTGTGTTTCCCTGAGAGCCTTCCAAAATTATTCAGCTAAAACAAGATGACTGACAGTGTGAGAAATACAAGGTTGACAAGGCTAAGATGAAACTGCGATCTTCTCTTCTCCCTCTGAAGGATGCCAGTTGGAGGTGCTCTTTGCATACCCTGTGATAGTACTTGCTTGTAACTTGGTGCTTGCCACTACCGCCGTTCCCTTCTTAGCACCTGGCTGGTGCAGATGTCCTGCTGAGAAACCTCTTGGGTTCCTTTAGGATGTGGTGAAAGCTTCTCTTTCCTAATTGGGTTTTCTGTGTTGTGTTTCAGAATGAACTGGACAAGGTGAAGGCTGAGCTCTCTGTGAAAGGTGAGTTCCATCTGCCTACGGGGGTCAGCAGTCCATGATCAGCAGGTCCTGGGCTCTGCCTGCGCTAGGTGGCTTGCCCAGGCCTGAGGAGCCCCTAAGCAGAGCCCACCCATCTCTGTAGCTGGGGGTATGGTGCAGGCTGCCTTTTCTAAAGGTGGTGAGACCACCTAAAGCTGGACAAAGCTTGTTTGACAGAGCCAGAGGCCAAAGCCTGGCCTAGCTCTGCTGTAAGCGGGGAGCTTTCTGCAAGTGTGGAGACATATATGCAGTTTTCTTGCTCCTCTTCCTAATCACAAGCTCCAGCTATATCTGGAGCAGGCTTGCTGAAAGCAAAACCCTTGGTTTGCTCACTGGGAAACTCACAGCTGCTCATGGTAAAGCCTTGTTCCCTCCAACAGATCTAACTGCCCAAAAGCAGCAGTGGGAAGGCTTTGGATGTGTTTGGCTGTTGCAGTGCCACATGTGTTGCGTGAAGAGCAGACGGAGTTCAGTGTGTGAGCTTCCATTTCCCCATCTTTAATTTTAGAGGATGTTTGAGGGAGGCAGGAAAAGCAAAAGCCCTGGAGACTTGTCGATGGGTTTTAAGCATCGTCTGTAGGCAGCTTGTCATCAGAACATGAGTCATGAGCAGCAAAAGGAAAATGTCACTCTGAGTGACAGAAATCCAAAGACACAGTAGCAGAAGGGGGGGGAAAAAAAAGCTCTTTAAAGAATGCTGGGGGCTCACCCACGCCACAAGAGTCGTCTTTCCTCTGCCTTCCCTGCATGCACGAGACAGACATGAATAGCCAGTAGATTGAGGATTCGGTCCTTAGCCCAAGAGCAGAATTGGATGGTCTGCAAGTCTCTATTCTGAGGCCTGTTCTCTTGCCAGCTTAGTTGAGTTTAGTGACTTGGTAGAGAGCCAGATCTTCTGGGGAAGGTGTCTGGGATTCTTGCTAGGATGTTATCCAAGAAAAACTGCTCGAAGGCCTGCTCATCTTCTCGGCTTCTGGTAAGTAGAGGTTGGATTTGACATTCCCAGTCCCATTCTCTTTTCATATTGGAAATGAGAAGCTCCTTCCCACCTCCTGCCTCATTTGCTGCGGGCACTCTGCTCTCTGGTGGTTCTTGTGTATAAATTCTTCACTTTAAAGATGTGCTCTGTGCTGTGCGCTGTAGAGGAGCTGTGTAATTGCCAGTCACTGATCAGCTTGCAAATGGCTCTGGAGGTGCTGAGCTCTGAGCAGACCCAGCAGGCGCTGTGGGAGGCACTCTGAATGAGCTGGAAACTAATTCCTGCAGCATGGGGAGGTTCGATTCCTGCCATCTGCCTCTGGGCAGCTGGGAACGGAGGAGGGGGAAGCCCAAGCTCTTTTGGTGGATGTGGAGTCCCTGCAAATGAAGGGGGGTGCCTCCAGGCTGTGCTGCCTCTGGTGAGGAAGGGTTATTCACATCAATGGAGAGAAAAGGTTTTGCTAAGGAACAAATGTTTCCCATGGCAGCTCTGTGCTTCTGCTGGGATAGGCTCCTCTCTTCTTCCCCAGTGCCATGTGTCTCTTTTACTGTTGCATCGAGCAATGAAGCTTGCTCTGCAGGTCATGCTTCCATGGGATGTGGTGGCACAATCTGAGACTGGATTAATTGCAAGGAGAAGAAGCCCTTTTGGAAAGGGACTGATTGGCTTCCCACTACTGCCAGGCTGCAGCCATGGGCAGTTTGGGCAAAGGCAAGAGATACTGAGCTGAAGACTTTAATCTGCTCTCAGCAGGGTTAGAGAGGTTCCCTCACTGCCTTCCCTCACTGCCCAACTGCTGCAAGCTTTCCATCGATGCTAGCTGCTCCCTGCTTAGGTCTGTCAGCTTCTGATGGTGGTTGTTGCTTTTTGTGATGTTCTTTCCTTGCCTTAACAAATCAAATTGAATTCTGGTGGTGTTTTACACCACCTTCTCTCCTGTGGTCAGAGGCATGTGCTTTGTTCCTGGATTGTGTGCATGGGGAGGGACAGCAGGACTCAAAGGTTGTGCCTTGCAAAAGGTGGTCGCTCTGGGGAGTCTACTTGAGCTGTGGCATGTCCTGTGAAGTCCCCAGTGCCCAGCAGAGCTCTGCTTTACTGCCTCTTCCCCTTTGACATAGGTGCAGCAGCGTGGTGGATCACTGCGCACAGCTGCCTGACAGCCCAAGAAAGGGCTTCCTGATACAGAAGACTACACGTGGAGAGGATGGGCTCGGGGCTGTACTCTCCACCTCTGTGACAGCTCAGTGCAACTAGAGAGAAAGGCTTTCCTTGTGCAAGCCTGGCTTTGAGAGCATGCAAGAGTTAAGATGCAGCAGCGTAATGCTAGCAAGGCTGGCACTGGAAAGCTATTAAAGGGAATTTTTTATCTTTAGTAAAGAAAATCTTGAAGCCTGCTGGCAGTGGGAGAAGCAAGTGCTCAGTATAGACCCTGGTGGAGACAGCACTTGGGGAAATGTGTCTCTACAGGAACAGCCACCTCCTAGCAGCCTGGAGCCTGAGACCGCAAGCAGTGTCTTTGTCATGCTCCTGCTGCTGTGGGGCAGCTGAGGTCTGGGTTTCCAGGCCATGACCTTTTTCTTTTTTCTTTTCCAGAGAAAGAAAAGCGGGAATGCCAGGCAGTTGTGGATGGGCTGAGGGACACTCTGGATGTGCGCAATGCCACTATAGAGTCGCTCCAGAAGGTGCTCGGAGAGACAGAGATGTTGTGCTCCTCTCTCAAGGTACCTTTCCTTTCCCGGCAGGACTTCAGCTCTAACAAGTGCATGGTCAGTGTTCATTTTGTTGAAGAGCTCTGCAGGCCCTGCTAATAAAGGGATTGTCCTGGTGGGATTTTGAATCTGGTGCCTTGAGATGCCTGTCTCTTGATCTCTGAATGGCCAGAGGGCAACGGAGCTGGGTTTTCATTTTGGCTTTATTAATCCGAAGTGAGTGGTGTTGCTGGTCTTGAGGTCCTGTGTGTGCTCCACCTGGGGGTGATTCAGAGGTGTGAAAGCCAAGCCTGTGGTGGCCCTGGTTGGGGGGGGGGGGGGGGGGGGGGAAGAAGTCCAGCCTGGGGGTTGCTGACTGAGCCTTGCTAATGAGGTGGCAGTGCTGATCATAAAGGTAGCAGTAAGAAGGCAGAGTGGGAACTGGCCCCAGTGCCCCACTGCTGAAACGCTGGCTCCCTGCGGTCGAATGTTCTCCTGAAATGGGTTTAGGCCAGGCGGGATTCAAGGAAAATTAGTTTGTTGGTTTGATTGGAGGAGAAGTCAAACTGAAATATACGGAGGGGGAGTTGCAAGCTTCAGCTGAGTGGGATTTGATCCAGCTAACTCTCCTGTCTGTATTCTGTTGCCAGGGCTTCTGTTTAGTTAGGCTAGTAATGTGTGAAGTCCAGGGATCAAATATTCCTGTTGTGTTTCAGCGTGCAGTGACTCAGTGTGTAGTCATGTACTGTGCGTAAACAGCAAGTGGAAGAGCAGGAGCTGCTTTGTTGAGGTGCCTTGTAGTGAGCACAACAGCTTTGCCTGGCTGGGATGGGCACTGCTGTGTGAAGAGGACATGACGGTCACAGGAAGATGGGGTTCAGGCATGTGGGGTTGTGAGCTGTAGACTGAAAGGCATGAGAGGGGTTGGCTGCACTTCCTAAGATCTCTGCTGCTTGGACCTTTGCCCAATAGCCTGAACTGCATCACGTTCCTTCACCTGCAAGGCCAAGTGGTCCAGGGAGACCTCATAGATGTTGTTGCTGGGTTGTCTTGCTCATGTCACCTGCAGCTGGGCTCCTGTGGGAGGAGCCAGCCCTGGAGGTCTGCCTGACACCACCAGTGTGGGGCTGTCACAGGGCAGGAGGACAGATACAGGTAGGAATTGATGCCAGGCAGGTCTTGCTGTGAGCCAGCACAGCTTTTTTTGGTTGGTTTTTTGCCTGACCATGGGATTATATTGAGTCTGCTTGGGTGTAAAGGCAGCCCCTGTAAAGGGCCATGCCAGTGATGCTCATGGGATCCTGGGTATATCAGGATCTGGTATACCAGTGACAGGATACTCCTGTTGCTCCCTAGTCCTGCAGAAACAACTGTGACAGTGGAAGCTAGTGTTTACTGCTCAAGTCAACAACTCTGTGCTTGCCTTTCCTGCCTTGGCACCTCAGAGGATGCTCTGTGGTTATCTTGCCTGCTGCAGAACCCTCTGTGTGTGCTTAAGTCCTTTAAGAGAAGCTGGGCAGGATGGAAGGATTAGGGGCCTGGAGGTGTCTCTTTCTGTGGTGTACAGGGCATTCTAGCTGAATGCCAAGCACTGTCTTATACTGCATCATTAAAGATTAAAGCACTAAACTTCTGCAGTGAAAATATAGATTTAATTAGCCATGGTGCAGGTCAAGCCCACAGGCTGCAAACCATTCCTGTCTTCTGCTAGCACTGTCTGATGCTGCTGAACCTTTGTGTCAGAGTTTGCTGCCCTTTCAGGCATGTCTGGGGCTGGGGACTGCTCCAACCTGGCACAAAACACTGCTTCGGGGACCTGAAATGTAGAGAGCTCTGGTTAAGGAGAGCCGAAGTTGGGCTCTGCCTTAGCAAGAGTAACATGGGAGCCTGCAGCGCTGTCCCTCTGCAAAGTCCCAGCAGTTTCACAGCTGTTTGGCTCCTGTGGTAGAGAGCAGATAAAATCCTTTAACTTCTGTGTGGAAGAGAGCTTTACGAGTGATGGTCTTCTGCCAGGCACTGTGCTGAAACCAAGCCTGAGCCCTTTGCAGGCGCTGTGCAAGGTGCCCAGGCACACACCAACCTAGACAACATGGATGCATTTAAACGATGCTAATTCTGGCCAGCTTCCCCTGTCCACACTGCAGATCGGTGCTTTTCCGGCTCAGCCGAGGTTCTCTGTTACTGCTGCCTGCTACTGGAGAGCCTGGTGAGGTGATGCCTGCAGTGGGCTTACAGCCTCTCCAGGCAGGTGAGAGAAGTTCCCTGGGTGGGCGTCCGGTTTGGATGAAGTCTCCTGGAAGAGACGCACTCAGCAATTCCTATTTATGCTCTGAGCAGCTAATAGAAGGAGAATTGGGAAGGAAAATAAAAGGATCAGCTGTGCACGGAGGAGAAAGCAATAGCAAGGTTTGCTTGCTGTGGGTTTGCTTTTGACAAACTGTCACTGCGTACAGGGGACTGCACAGCCCCACAGATACTTCCAGCTGAACAGAGGCTATGGTGTGGTTTTGGCACCAGATTCACCTTGTGCTGAGCACTGAAACCCTGCAGCACTTGCAAGGAGCAGAGCTGGGGGTGCAGCAAGGAGGGAGCTAAACTCTTCATAATCCTGAGCTGCTGAGGTGGTGATAGCATTAAGAGCCAATGTGTGCTCCCAGCTGCCCGCAGTGCGCATAAGCCAGGATGTTTCTCTGACAATCCCTGGAGCCTTCCTGACGGTCTGTGTGTGCTTGCTTCTCTGCAGAAGCAGATGAAATTCCTGGAGCAGCAGCAGGAGGATAACAGAAGTTCAAAGGAGGAGGCCCGCCGCCTGCGAAACAAGCTGAAGACCATGGAGCGGTGAGATCCCAGCTCTGGGCCTTGCTGGTGGGCTGCATGCCTCTCCCCTTCTCCGGGAGGGAGGGGAGGGTCCTGCTGTGCCTGCTGCAGCCTCCACATGCTGGCTCGTCTCACCCCATGAGGTTGGAAACTGGTGCATTGTAGCAGGTCTGTCTGTGCTTTTGCCCCTGCTGTGTTTCCAGACAGTTTCAGGAGGGACAGAATCCCAGCCCAGGAATGCAGTCAGCTTCAGGGCTATAGGGCCCCAGAGCTGGGACATTGGCTCCATGTGCATTATGTGTGTGTGTGCAGCTGCCCCTTCTCTAGTCCACGTAGGGCTCTTTGTCCCTAGCAAAAAGCCCTGCCTGTGGTTGGGCAGTTGTGTCTCTTCCCCCACAACATCCAGAGTGCCTGCAGCAGGAGCTTAGGCTGCACCAGCCCCTTGGGGGGGACTCAGGGCTTCAGTTTCTCTCCCAGCTGTTTGTGACTCATGAGCTGAGGGGACCATTTCTTTTGTGCAGCATCGAGCTGTTGCTTCAGAGCCAGCGCCCTGAAGTGGAGGAGATGATCAGAGAGATGGGAGTCGGGCAGGCAGCGGTGGAGCAGCTTGCGATCTACTGTGTCTCGCTGAAAAAGTAGGTGCTGTGAGCTTGGCACTTGGCTCGTGCTGTCCTGGGTGTGCCATGGGAGAACCCTCTGCCAAGTACTAGCAGTTACATGGGCAATGTAGGGCTCTTGCTGCCTGCTTGGGCCTCCACTGGGTTTTGACTGACAGATCCTGGGGACCTAGATTGGAGCCTGTCACACTGAACTGTTCCCGTTGTCACTGTAGTGACATGTGTGTCACCATGGGAACTGTCTCCAGAGTTGTCAGTGCACCTATAAGGTGATTATTATTATTCCTTCCATTTCCCTCTCCTGCCTGGGGGGGAAATGAGTGGATGAGGGTTGCCGGCTTGTACCCTCTGCTGCACTGCACTGTGCAGCTGTGCCTCGATTGCTCTCCAGTAAGGAGGATCTGCAGTGCTGCCCTCCCCTACCTGGAAATCCATCTGGTCCTGCTGGGCAAAACCACAGCTTTTTTTTTGGGTCCGTTTTGATGGCAGCTGAATAATTGCAGCTTTGATACAAAACTGTAATGAGGCAAGTGTCCCTGTGGTGTAATTGGGAATGGATGGGCATGGCCAAGAGTGTGATGTCTCTGAAAAGTCACTTAAAGCAAAGCCCCTTCTTTGCTGCCAGCATGGAGGCTGCTCTGTTGTCTGTCTGTCTTTTCCAGTGGCAACAGAAATGTCTCTGCAATTGGCTTCCATTTTGCTGGTGAAATCTGTTCAGGCCCTCTTCTCGGGCATGGTATTCCATGCAGCTTTTGTCTTCCCCATGGTGTATTGGAATGGTTGACTCATTGTTGGGCAGTCTTGGGATACTTGAGTCTGTTCCCTAAAGGCCTTTGTGTCCCCTGGGTTTTTTCTGGTGGCTCTGCAGTTGCAGAGGGTCTAGGCTTGTCTCTGAGAAGCTCTAGCTCAGTCCTCTCACCAATGAAATGCCTCTTCTGGTATCTTTGAAGGGAATATGAAAACTTGAAGGAGGCTCGGAAGATGTCTAGTGAGATGACAGAGAAACTGAAGAAGGAGCTATTTGCTGTCAATAGCAAGGTAAAGGGAAAGTGTGAGTCCCAAGGGTGACATGGGGCTGTCAGTAGCTGTGACCCAAGCCCTCTGCAGTGACCCCCTCCCACACTGAGCACTATTTGAGTGGTACTGGTGGTGTGGAGGTGTGAGGCTGGGGTTTCTGGAGCAGGCTGTGATGCTGTGGTGAGTGAGCAGCTCCTGGGCTGCTCACTTGTCAGTCTCAGGAAGACTGGTGGGGCAGTGTGTGCAGAGCCAGCCAGAGTTTGGCAGGGAGCCTGGGCTGGAAGGCAGCAGCCTGCAGGTGCTCCGCTGCTCCCACTGGGTTCTGGAAGCAGCACTTCATCCTGCCATGCTGCCGAGCACTCCGCTGCCAGCCCTCCTGCTGCAAAACTGGGCCCACAAGAAAGATGGGAAGGGATTTGAAAGCAGCACCAGTTGAGCAGGATTTAGTACTGGCTCGGCACAGCCGCAGTAACACTCGGCCTTGTGCCTTCAGCCAACTGAACCAGGCCAGGGCTTCTGTGTGATGCTGTGCCCAGGCAGGTGAAGTTCCCGAAGTGAGGGCATGGAGGTGGCTCTGCACAGAGCCTGCCTGGGCTGGCACTGGCCTCGTCCAGAGCTTGGAGCTCCTGATGTGCCCCTGTTGCTGTGCTTCCCCTGCTCCAGGCCTGGCTGGGCTCTGTTAGCTCATGTTGGGTATTGCTTTTGTCAGTTTTGGTAGCGAGTCCCTATGAAAAGCGTGTGTGTGTAGCTTTGCTCTATGTTCCCTGGGGCATCCCCATGTGCAAGCCCACAAAGTGAGAGACTGTGGGTGGATTTGGTCTGTTTTTTGTTACTCAGCCATAGCTGTTGTCCCCTGAAATATGGAGAAGGAAGTTCTCAGATTACTGTGCTGCTCCCCAAGTGAGGTAACCTCCTACATGAGGTGCTGCTGCTGGAATCAAGCTGCTTCTGGTGGAGCTAGTGCCAAGCTGCAGTCACCAGCTTGGGTCAGGAGGATGCGAGTCAGTGCACTCAGGGCTTGGCTTGGCTGACAGAGAGCTGACTGTACCCGCACTTGTGGGCTGGCCCAGGCTCCTGAACCCACAAAGTCTCTGATGTGGTGGCAGTCCACTTCCCAATCCTTGCTCCTGGCATGTTTCCCTGTTGAATCAAGCTTGTCCATGTGCCAGTATTGCTGATGCACAACCGTTCTCCAGCCTGTGGTTTGTAATTCCTGTGCTTTGGTGTGTCCACAGTCCTGCAGGAACTCGGAATGCAGCCACCAAGTGTTAGAGCAGGGAAAAGCTGTCACCATCAGGCATAAATGCTCGGGAAATGTTATAGGAAGGGTTGTGTTGAGCGAGCAGCCCTGGAGATCCCTCTGCAGGCAGCATGAGGAAATGCTTAGGCATTCGGTTGCTCTGATACAGGAGAGATTGGTCAGACTGGCACAGGAAAGCTGAGCCCTTCAACAGGGAATAGTAGGATGTGCTGCAAAGCATGCTGCACCTGCAGGGACCTGTGATCTCCCTTATCCGAGTGTAACCAGTGCTCTGCTGTATGGGGGGGGGTTATTCTGCAGCTGCAGAAAACAGTTTTGGAGTTGGAGAAGACACAGGAGGAGTTAAAAAGCACCCAGAAGGATCTGAAGAATGCGGACAAGGAGATCTTGGTGAGCATGTTATTCCTTGGTCTGCAGTCACTGGCAGCTGGCCATGGCCTACAGCTGCAAAGCCAGGAGTTATGCTGGCTTTTGCTTGGTGACTGTTACCCAGCACATCTTGCCTTTCTTACTTGCCCACCTCTGGGTTCTACCTGATGCTGATTTATGGGAAGGGGCAAAGTATCTGCTACTAAATCATTCCTTTTCTCACTCTTGCTTTCCTTTTTCCCTCCAGAGCTTGAAGAAGAAGATAGACATCCTGCAGGATACTCTGAAGGTGCCATCCCCAACTAGAGAGACGCTCAGTCGACTAGTCTTTGAAAGGTTAGTGAAGTGCACCCCTAGATACAGGCAATGGATTGAGATGTCGGGTCCAAAGTAAGAGCTGACAGTTTAACTAGCTGTGGGAGCAGAGCTGTGCTAGTCTGGCAGGCATCACAGCAGCACAGGCGTTTTGCTCCTTGTATCCTAGTTTGTGGGCTTTTTTTTCCTTGTTTCTGACAAGGTGGTGTTTGGTTTACCTGGGAAAAGATGTGTGTTTCAGAGGGCTTGGGTTAGAATGGGCTGGGTTTTGACAAACTCTTTATCACTATGTCCCAACAAAGAAATATCCCTAAAGCTGTTCTTGTGGGTGCCTCAGAGCTGGCCTTTCAGTGAGCGTGTGCTGGTGTATGGGGGCTGAAGATCTTGGCCAGGCAGAGGAATCTAGTCTGGAAAAAGGCATCTCTTGCATATTTACCAAGTCCTTTCGTGCATAGAGCCTGTGCTGTTGCCCCAGGACAGCAGGCTGTGTTGCATACACAAAGCAGCAGTGTGCCAGGGTACACCCTGGGCTCTGGGGGTGCTGCTGTTACAGCACAGGCCATTGAGGGTGAACAGTAGTTTGGGACACTGACTATAAGCTCAGGGATTTGGAGTGTCCTTTCTGTGGCTGGTAAGCAGAGGGGGCTGTGATCCTGGTCCCACTGCTGCCTCAGCTCAGTCGTGCAGCTCTGTCTCCTCTCGTCTGCCGGTGGCAGGTGGTGGCCTCTGGCTGATGCTTTGCATGGCCTTGCAGCCCTGCTCCCGTGGAACTGCAGCACCCAAAGCTCCACCGCCCAGCCCACAGCGAGGAGATCAATCTAGATGCTTCTTTTGATGTCGACACCCCTGAACATCAGCCCTGCAGTTCTCTCTGCAGCCCTGCAAAAAGGCAGAAGCTGGATAAAAAGCCGTGAGTTTCCCCTCCTCTTTCTGCTTCCAAAGGAGATCAAAGTCTCACTTCTGTGGAAGCTGCTGTGTGAGATCAGATAGCTCTCCAGCTGCCTGATGTCGTGCTGCAAGTTTTGTCGTCATCTGCTTGGCCTTGTCTGTCCTTGCCAGCTCCACTTAAACAATGAATCTCTGCTGATTTGCTCCTTGGGCTTCTTGCAGGCCTCCTGTGGTAAATCTGGCGAAGAAGGTGCTGAAGGAAACGGTGGAGGTAAAAGGGCTACTCTTGATTTTTCTGTATCATCTCTTTGATTCCGCTGTTAATAAGGGTGGGATAAAGGACCCATTTTTCTCCGTGTAGGAGATGCTGTCACCACAGATCGGCCCATGTGTAGAACCACTGTACATGCTTCAAAGGGCTGTGCTTGCTAGTCTCTTAGAAATGCTGCCTCAGGCCTCCTGGAATTGGGCAGGAGAGGGAGGATGGGGACCCACATGCTTCTTGCTGCTTATCTTGCCTCAGATGTGCTTGGCATGATACAGCCTGGGGCTGTAGGGTCAGTGAAGGGGGCTGTTCTTCCAGGGTTGCTGGGTGCCATGTCCCAGGCACTGTTCCACATAAGCCCCAGTGGGAGGTTTGAAACTACTGTTCTTTGGCCTAAGCAGTAACGGTTACCCAGAGTAGCTGTCTGCATTGTTAGTGCTCCCTGTTTATGGACTAAATTCAGCAGATCATGCTGGTTAAAGGGCTTTTCTCATTGTTTTGTGGGACAGAACTGGGCAGATGATCCGGAGGATGATACCCTTAAAGGACTGTTGCCAGCATTCATCAGGAACTCTGTTCTCTCCAAGAAGCCATCTTCGGGTAGCTTGCTGGGTCCGCACAGGAACGTGGGCACTGTAAGTATGACTGTCCAGTTGGTGAGCATGTCAAGGGCTGGCACTGCACTCCTCTGTCCTCAGGTGACCCTGCAGGGGGAAACGAAGGAGGCTTTTACTTTGCCACAGTGTGTGGAAAATAAATCTTGGAGCGTGACCTGGCTACTTCCCAGTCCTGCAGAGCTCCAGGGATGACAGATGCTCATTCCCTTTCTGGCAGCAGACTAAATGGCGCTTTGCATCCCATTCCTCCACCTCCTTGGAGCTTTGGGTGTTTTCCTTGTATTACTGAGTCCCAGTGACAAAATCCTAAGCTGTTGCTTTGGAGCCTCAGCTTGCTGCAGAAAGTGCCCAAGATATCCAAACTTTACTAATATCCTTGGGTCTGCCTTTTTGTAAAGGTGAGGGCTTAGCATCAGTACTGAGTGCTTCCAGGTGCTTGTTAACTCCACCACAGAAGCTGCAGCCCACAAGGCTCCCTCTTTCCCATAACCAGTGTGAGAAGTAGCCAAGGCTCTGTGCTGCTGTTCCAGACTCCTTTCTTTCTCTCTTCTAGGTGCGGATGGGTTATGATGGCATGGGAGGCAGAACAAAGTTCATACAGCCTGTATCCTTTCTTGCAGCTCGCAAGGTAATAATGCTGTAGGATGTTCGTGCTCATCTTGGAGTCCTCTCCACCAACCAACAAAAAAATGGGCTAGGACCCTCAAGGAACCATTAGGTTTCTCTCCATCTGACTCTGACCAAGTCTGAGTTCAGCAAAGGCATCAAGGACCTGAACTTGCTGAGAGCAATATCAGAGGTGGCTCAGGCAGAGGTGTGGATCAGCCAGAAATCGGTGCCACTTGCAGGGACTGCCTCTGCCTTTGGAATCCCTGGGCACAGCCTCTTCCTGGCTGCCTGCTCTCCAGCCTGTCTGTTCCTGTGGGATGCTGCTGCCCTGCTGTGCATGTCCTGGTGGGCAGCCCTGCAGCAGGTGAGCAGAGGCTGGGCTGAGCTCACCCTGTGATGGGGAAGCTGCTTTTCCCTGGGGAAGTAGCTTTTCCGTGGGAAGGTGTAAGCTGTAGTTTCTGTGCCTTTCCCTGCACAGTGTCCTGGCTCTGACATGCAGGGTAGGTCTTGAAACTCTGGCAGATATCCTTAAATAACTCTTTTATGTGCCAAGGTGGGTAGCACAAAAGTGGGAAGTGTTCTTTGGCCCATGGGACAGGAGCATGCCTGAGCTCTGCTGCTGTGAGTAGGGGCAAAGACCAACCTGTCCTGCAGGGAGTCTTTCTGAGCTGTGCCCAGGGAACAGCTGGGTCCCAGGTCTGTGGTTGAGGCCCATCTGCAGCTGGTATTGGATCACTTTTGTCTCCAAGGCATTGGTTCGTACTTTCCTTGACAGTTCTACCTCTAGACAAACCTGGCAGAAATCCGTCCATTAGCAGTGAGGAGCAAGAAAAAGGTCTCCAGGCAGGTGTCTGCAGCTCCCTCCACATCTTCCTCCAGCAGCAGCCAAGCCAGACTGGACAGTTTTCTGCAGTGAGAGCAGCTGGGCAGGGTGGCCATAGCACAGACCATGCTTGCCCAGAGCCTGGCACACAAAGCAATGGGCAACCGCTGTTCTGTGAGTGGCTATGATTTGCAAAGCACCTATGCTATGTGGTGGGTGAGGCAAGTTGCCCTGCAGCAAGCAGCTGGCCTTGCAGCAAGCAGCTGGCCTTGCAGCAAGCAGCTGGCCTTGCAGCAAGCCAACAGGAGATCAAGCCTCTGGATAGTGCTTGGACTGATTTACCTCCTTCATTTTACTCTTCTTCCTCCTATTTTCATGCAGAATAAACAGGGTTTTCTCATCTTCTGCCTGCTCAGAGCTCTGCAGTTGCTGCTGCTGTTGGGCTCTGACACCAGGTCAACTGCACTTCTTGGATGCAGCTGCAAGCTGGAAGTGTGGGAAGGATATCTGGGATGTCAGTCTGGAGTAAGAGCCAGGACCTGGACCTGCTCTATGCCTGGAGTAAATGGTTCCAGTAGGGTTTCCAGGAGGAAGAAGTGTGCAGGGGGCAGAACAGTGTTGGCCTGCAGGGTGGCTGTGTAGTTATCATCAAACTAAACTTCCTTCTGCAGTGGGCCTGGGATGGTTGGGGTCCCCACAGACCACCCTGAGGCATGTTCTGGTTTGGGCTATGGAGTCCAAGTTCAAACTTGGCACTGAAATTGCTGACCTGGGGAGGGGGTGCTGGGGTGACCCCCTGCCCTGCTTGGGAATGGAGAGATGGGTGTGCTGATGTGACCTCTGTTCTTGCAATGTCAAGCTAGTGTATGAATTTCTATTGTTTTAATGAGACTGTAGGGGTGTTCTTGTTCTTTTCTGACTGCTTTGCGGGATTGGAACAGCCTGAAGAAGTGCTGAAGGTGAACAACCTCCCTTGACAGGGGGGATACTGATAGGGCTGAACCTGTCTGGGGTTCCTCAGCTTGGCGATGTGGGACTGGAGCTTCTCCCTCTCATCCCGTGGCTGAAGCAGGGCTGTTCACTGCAAGGAACGGACTTGGTGAGGCACCTCATGCTGTACAAATCCATCGTGTTTCCTGTTTTTAGCTGCTTCAGGCTGGAACCTGCAGTATGTGACTGCCTAAACCTATGCCTTTAGGGAATAAAATATAACACTATGTGCACTTGTTAACACAACTGCCTTCTGAGCATCTTCTTCCCTACTGCAGCTCAAGGTGAAGATTTGAGTGTGGGGTGATGGATGTGCTGTGAAACCTTTGCTGCCAGCTCTTGGGGCACAGGCCCCTTCTTGACGGAAGGGCTGTGGTGGGGTGAAGCTGTGATAAAAGTGATGCCAGGCTCCAGGGCAGTGAATACAGCAACTACCCACAGCCCATCTGCTCTGTCTTCCCTGCATCAGTGGGGCTGGCTGCTGAAAAACAAACAGCCTGTTTGGCATGCTGAAAAACAGGGGTGGGGAAGACCCTAGAGGAGCACAAGGAGAGGATTCAGAGGGCTGGAAAACAAGCTTGGGGGACTTAAAGAGGGTGATAGGGGCCAAGCACTGTCTAGTTGAAGGTGGATGTTTTGAATCTCCTTGTTTTTTTAAAAAAAAAAAAAAAATACCCAAGCAAACACCCCAAATACCCCAAACCAGCCTTTTTTTGTTTGTTTGTTTTTTATATATGTAATCATAATTTTTTTTTTCCTGTTCTGGACCTAGTGTCAGTCCTGATCTCCTTTCATCCTCCATGCTCCCACTTTCCATGTCCTTCCTATTTTTGGAAGTTTTTCCTGCTGTGTTTCTGCTCTGTTTTACTGCCTTATCCCTTCCTCCTGCCCAGACATGGAGCCTCTTTACTCTTTCTTGGGGATGATTTTGGCTGTTTCCCTCTATATTACACAGTTCACTGCCTACACAGGACAGCAGTGACCTCTGGGGTCCTTGTCTCCTGGGCTTGGAAGGGGCAGAGGTCCTATCTCCTGTGGCTGCACTGAAGCCCATGGAGCTGGAGGGGGCAGCTGCTCTCTCCCTTGCTGTGGCCACGAGTCCTGGGGGTCCTTCCTCTGCCCCCAGCCTGATCCTGGGAGTGGGAGGCTGCAGGGTCACAGCAAGGGACAAGTACCTGTGCCTGCTGAGCCCCTCCGTGTGGCCTCTGCGCTCTCTGAGCACATTAGGCAGCCTCTGACTTCATGTGGAGGAGGCACGTCTATTGGCTGAGTGCTGTGTGATGTCATGGGCATGGGTGTGCTGGTTGGCTCCTGGCTGTGACCTCCCTGCAGAAGCTGGGTGCTCAGTGGCTGAGCCTGGGCCTTAGGGGGAGCATGCAAGCCTATTGGTTGGGCCCTGTGACATCATAGAAGAACAATGATGACCATTAGGGGTGCTGGTTGGCTGCGGGCTCTATGACCTCACATCCAAGCCAGTGTGCTCACCCACTGGGCACTGTGTGACCTCACAAAAAGCTGTGTGCTCATTGCCTGGCTGGGAGTGACCTCCTATGACAGCCCATGACCTCATGAGGTGGCAGGGTGCCTATTGGCCAATAGAGTATGACGGCTCAGCGCTGCCTGTGACCTTACAGGGAGCAGGGCACTCATTGGCTGGCGGGGTGTGATGTTCTGGGGCAGCCATGACCTCATGGGTGGCAGTGTGACCTCTCAAGGGAGGGGAGTTCTCACTGGCTGACAGGACGTGACAACCGAGGGCAGCACATGACTTCACAGGGGAGGGGATGGCTCATTGGTTGGCAGCGTGTGACGTCCTGCAGCGGTCCGTGACCTCATGCGTGAGTGGGTGCTCATTGGCTATCAGAGTGTAACCTCATGCGGGAGCAAGCATTCATTGGCTGCCGGGGTGTGACCTCACGGGAGGCTGCACGCTCGTTGGCTGTCACAGCATGAGCTCGCGGGGCGCCGCCTGGCGGACGCGAGCGGTGCAGAGCGCCGATTGGTCGGTTGGGCTTGGCGGGGCGGGGCGCAAACCCGCGCGCCCGCCGCTGCCTCGCGCCGCCATTGGCTTCCCGGGCCCGCGGGGGGCACGTGCCGGCTCGGGGCGTGGGGGCGGGGCGGAGCGCTGCGATTGGCCGGGCGGGCGCGCGTGCCCGCGGCGCGGTAGCGGGCGGGCTGCGGGTAGGCGCATGCGCGGGGCGGCGGGGGCAGGCGGCGATGGCGGCGCGGGGCTGATGGCGGCGGAGGCGGCGCTGCGCTGAGGGAGCGGTCCCGCCCGGCCCGCCATGGGCAACGAGGCCAGCCTGGAGGGCGGCGGCGACGACGGGCAGATACCGCCCGGCGCCGCCGCCGCCGCTGCCACCGGGGCTCCGCCGCCGCCCGCCGCCGCCGGCAAACCGCCTTCAGCACCGGGCGGCGGCGGACAGCTCCCGGGCAGCGCGACCGGGCCCAGGTGAGAGCGCGGAGCGCTGCGTGCGGGGGGCACAGCCGGGACTAGGAGCGTGGGGCAGAGCCGGGTGCCGGGCTCGGGGTGCGGGTGTGTGGGGTGCAGGCCGGGTGCGGGGGGTGGCCGGTGGCAGGTATGAGGGGTGCGTGCGGGCAGAGTGGGTGAGTGGGTGACAGGGTTGTGCAAGGGGCAGGAACCGATGAGAGAGCGGCGCCAGCTGCAGGGGTGCGGGCAGGCAGTGGGGTGGGTGGGCAGGGGCACCCACGGCGGGGCAGTGCTGGAGGGTGCAGCCCCAGGGGAGCTGGCAGCTTGGGGACGCGCATGGGTGCTGGGGTAAGGCAGGGATACAGTTTGGGGCTGGGTGTGGGAGAGGAACAGCGTGTGCCCAGTGAAGAGCACAACGGCTTGGGGGGCAGGAGAAAGAGGGGTGCTGCCCGGCGGGCAGAGGTCCAGCAGTGAGGGCTGGGGAGACTGTTGCGGAAGTGGGGTTAGGAGGATGGAGGAACGTGGTTTGGGGTTGGGGAGCCTGGGCCGGGGGGTCTGGACAGGTGAGGAGTGGTGCCTGGTGGACCAACTGTGGCCACCCCAACCATGGCCACCCCAACCATGTACATCCCAAACGGAGCCGGCACCGAACAGGAAAGGTCCTTATGTAACAGGAGGGACGTGCGGCCCTGCCAGGAGCCTTTGGTGCGAAGCCTTGCAGGGAGCGGTGCTGAGCCACGCTCCCACTGTCAGGCAGCGCCAGCCGGCACTGAGATGCTTCGGAGGCGGGCGTGGGATTGGAGATGCTCCTTTAGGGAAAAAAAAAAAGAGTTTATCCTAAAATGCCATCCTATCTGGAGAAATAAATGCCAGGAGCAGAAAGTTGCACAGAGGGATGCGGGGGACCCGGCAGGCAGCTTGCCTACGCTGCGTGGCCAAGGTGGTGGCGTTTCGGGCTCTCCCATGCAGCGACGAGCACTGCTTGTATTGCCCCTTGTGTTACTTCAAGCGGGGAAAATTGCAAGCAGGAGCTGACCAGGAGGCTGCAGTTCTGCCTGGCGGAGCTTCCCTCTCGCTCCCAGCTGGCTGCAGTCAGTGCTTACATCCAGGCGGGATTCAGGGATCCCACAGGGCAGCTGAGCTGCGGGCAGGCTTCTCTGTGTAAAATCTGTTAGCTTTTGCACAAGAAGCATGGAAATATACCGGGAGTGGAATCGTGCCTGTTTTCCATCCTGGTTTTTCCAGCTCCCCCTTGCTAACTAATCACTGGTCCCTCAGCTTCGGACTCTGCCACTGAGAAGTTGTTCGTAGGCTGCTTGTAGTGATTTAAAATCAAAGACCTGAGGGGCTGTTCAGGCTGGTGCATGGAGATGAGCCGAGGGAGCCGTGCAGACCTGCTGTCTCTGTCTGGTTTTGACACTGCCTTGGGGCTCCCCTGTTACTGCCTGGGGTCTATGTTCACTGTTGTACCAGGGCTGGGGATCCTGGGGTCTTGAAGGAGCTGCAGTCCTGCAGCACTGACCATCCTTGCTCCTCTCCTGCCAGAACACTGGCTGGGGTTTGCCAGCCATGCTCCAGCCCTCGCTGATGCTCCTGCTCCTCCTGGGGAGCTGCTGCCGGGAGCTGCCCTCCCTTGCAGTTAATTAATGCAATTAAAGAGGTGGGCCACTCGGGGCTCTGTATGCTGGCAGGGAATGCAGGCACGGAGCGGCAGTGGGATGGGGAAGATGCTGATCTCTACCGGAGTGGGATGGGTGTGGGGGGCTGGGGTAACACTGAGAGGTTTTAACACAAGGTAACAAAAGTGGAA